CACCAATTCCAATGTCTGGTGAATGTAAACAACATAATGTTCCGCATATAGCATTTTTTTTTTATTTTATAAACTTTTTATAAACTTTTTTTATTTTATAAAAGGGGAAATCTTATGTTAATATCTGACCTGCTGCCCCTAGGAGGCGCCAAGTATGTGGTTCCTCTGTGAAGAAGAAGAATTAGAATTAAATTAATAAGAATTAAAATACCAAAAAATAAGAAGTTGAACTTATGACTGTGGTATTTATCTACACTCTAAACTATATGTTAATGTGAGTATTAGTATCACAAGACGTGTGTGTGTGTGTGTTTCTCCTGGTTGCATCAGTCGCCTCCATTCTGTCTGTCTTTCATTTTTCCTAGTTAATAAACCTGTTCCACTGGGGCTCAGACCCATGTCTCAAGGCAGAGAAAAAGGTTTTAAAAAAAAAAAACACATTTTAGAACATGCACAGAAATGACAGCAGACAGGGATAAAAACTGACACGAGAACATGTGACAAACCTGTGAAAGCAGACGTTAACCACAACGATGAAGAGCTGCTGCGTGCGCCTGTGTGTGTGTGTGTGTGTGTGAATGTTTGACTAAACCAAACACCAAGTCACGTCACGACTCCTGAGATTCCACATCTCCCACATTCCTTTTCCACTTTTTAATTCTTCCTCCTGTGACTTAACATGGAAAGTGATGCAATGGAGGGACAACAGGTTTTAACAAGAGAGACTTTGTGAAACTGTTACTACAGTCAGAATACCTCAGGGGAGGAAGTGGAGGAGGAGGATTTGTGCGTAAATGAGATAAAACTTCTAGGTCAGAAATTCATTTCTGAGTCACTGAACGCAGAAAACAGTTATTATAAAATAAGATCTTAACTGAGCTTAGAGCTTTGGGTTTAGGCTTTGGGTTTTGGGCTAACCTGGTCTTGGTCAGTGTGTGTGTAGATGAAAGCTTGTAACTTTTTACTGTCTGTGTGTCCATGATTGGTATTGTGTGGAGAAAGCTGATTAAAGCAAATGGCTTGCAGAGATTACGTGTGTATCTATGTATGTGTGTGTGTGTGTTTGTGTGTGTGTGTCTTCAGCAATACCACAAGCCTAGCATGCATGTCATGCTCTGGTGTCTCAGGAAGAATATGTGGTGCGTGTGTATAGGTCAGCGTGGACTAAATTATAAACGAGGAGAGCAAATGGTACCAGGGAGATTATTCAGATTTGTTAATCTAGGCTGAATTACATATGCAGACGCGGTCACGTGCACGTCCGACTTTGTCGTGCATGTACAAGACACAGAAACGAGCACCCTCCCCACCCTGGGGGTTGTTATGGCTAATTGATGACCAAACATGTCGTTGTAGGAACAAATCCAACAGGCTGGAGGACCAAGTCTGTTTTTACTAAAGCATTTACGTTCTTTGCTAATTATATATGGAAATAGTCCCGATTTCAGACCCATCAGAAAAGATGGACAGTCGAGAAGCAGAATGTGATGAAGATTAGTTGAGTATTATAATCTGAAGACACCTTTTACGACTAGATTAAAATTATGTTTTGGTTTTACCAAAATATCATCTCAGTCTTCAGTGTGTGTTGAGCATGGCTTCAACTTCAGATCAGACCTTTTAAATACTTGAATTTCTATTAAAAATTCCATTATTAGTCATTAATATAAACATCTACAGTACATGTCAACACATACTGTACATACCAGCAATATAGCTGGTAAAAAAAGATTTTGCCATATATAGGCAATTGTGATTAGTTACAATCACAATTAATAATGATTAATTGTCATTAATCAACAGCTACCCAGTGAATAGTCATATACTTTTTTTATAAGTATATAAAAGTTTATAAGTATGCATTTAAAAGTATTTAATAATTTAACAGCCCCCCTCCCCCAAAAAACTAAACTATCTATATATATCTACACACAAACATTAGGATACCACATTGATGGGGTCCCAAAATATTAATGGGATTGTTAAAATAATAATAATAAAAATATATGTAATATGTATTCATAAATATGTATACATATACAGACACAAATATATACATATAGGTATAAATATATGTATACATATTATATATATATATAATATGTATATAATATGTATAATATATATATACACATATGTACATATATACATACATACCTATATACATATATATGTAGATGCATACATATATACACATATATGTACATATATACACATATATGTACATATATACACATATATACAGCATGAATTCAAATCAGCACAGACAAATGTTAAGTTTAAGCTGTTGGGTGGTTGAACCCTCAGACCTTAATCTTCTTTGCACTGTCAAAAAAAAAAAAAAAATACAATTCATCCATGTTGACTTTAAGCCCATACATTTTTTTTACTCTGTTTATTTTCACTGCCGCTACGTTTTGTTAGGATTGACTGCCATCTCTTAAGAAGGGAAAAATGATTTGTGTTTTTGAAAGTTCTGTTCACTACTGTGAAAATGTATTTAAAGTCTGTCAAAGTGCAGCATGTGCGTAGTTGATGTGTTAGCCATCTTTATAGCCATAATGTTAGCATTCTTCACAGCACTCTACATCTGAGTTGTTTTGATGTTATGTTTGATATGGTATGTTAGGACATGATTTAAGTTCATGGTAGTTTGATCTTACATCATGCTACAATACCAAGTCCCGGAAGTGAACAGTATCAGAATGTGTGACGTGATGATGCGTGTGAGGCTCCTGTGAGATAGTAAATGGGTCAGCTTGTTATGAATAATATAGAGGCCTATTTAAAATGCACAATAGAGGGTTGTATGGCGATGAAGACTTAAGTTTCTTATCAATGGAAAATCTAAACATGAAGGTCTGATGTTTGCATGTCTGAGAGTCCAACCACAGACTCCTGCCAGAAGAATACACAGACCAAAAGGTTGGAAAACCAATTCCCTCAGTGAGTGCGAATGAGGTAAATATCTTTTCTCAGTTGTATAATTTGCAGGAAAAAATAGTTCACACATAATTTAATTAAAAATCTTGTTTGGTCTTAATCATAATGCTGACCCACAAGTGACCCACATTGTTCACCTCGTATGCCAGCAAATTCTGACAAACCTGCCTCTAAATTTAGGGAACTCCCGAGGGATTAGGTTCTTTCTATCTATCCATCTATCTATCTATCTACTGTATGTATCTATAGTATCTATCTATCTGTCTGTATGTCTATCTGAGGTTCAGCTGACTGTTATGATTGTGTTGATGTAGACCAGGGGTGTCAAACTCATTTTCACCGGGGGCCACATCAGCAATACAGTTCCCCTTGAAGGGCCGGTTATAAATGGAAAACTGTACCAGTCCATAGGTCATTTGGTACCGGGCCGCAGTGGGACACAATTAAAAACTGTACTTAATTTTTACTAATTTACTTCATTAAGAAAAAGTCATATCCATTTAAAGATAAAAATAATTTAATTTTAAATTAATAAGTCATTCGAACTCTGATACTATCAGAATAAAAGATGTTTTATTTTGAAAATGTAATGCTTTGTACCTTACTACTGGTCTGTACTAACGGGTGGTACTAGCTGACCAGTCCTTGGAACAAAAAGGATTGTGGACCGCTGGTATAGATGTAACTACTCCATAACAGACTAACAAGCACCCGCGGGCCACACAAAACGGCTTGGCGGGCCGCATTTGGCCCCCTGGCCTTGAGTTTGACACGTATGATGTAGACAGAGGGATTTATTGAGGGTCAGGGCGACTTTAAACCGGAAAAACGTTTTAATCTTGGCATCTGTAGAACATTCATGTAAATTAAAAGTATAAATAAAGGAAAAGTAGGAAGTACAGAAATAACATAACAAATATAAATAAAAATAACATCAAGGGCAGTATCTAGTTCTAGATTCTAACATGTTGCAGCGACAACCACAGAGAGGAATTGACATGATGTTAAAGAAATCTATCATTAGTTGATTATATTCTTAGATTCTGGCTATTTGTGTAAGACCAGAGCAGAGAAGAGAGTTGACAGTACAATAAAACATATGTTTGAATAAAACAAAAGTGAAACCTACTTGTAAGGATTGTTAAAGGCGTGTCAGGTCGACCTCTGTCCTCGGCCACTTTTCCTCTTTCGTCTTCTCAGTTTAGGCCACAGATAACATTTAGTCCACTGTGTTCACAAGTCGAAAACCTGGCATAAAGGAAAATAATGAATAGCTGTGGTTAAAGATATTTGAAAACTCTGCTGCTGATGATAAACAGAAATATTTTAAAGACCTTCAACAAAGCATTCACTAAGAAAAAATCTGAACTTCTATCAATTAAAGTCCAGGAGACAAAATTTAAGCAGGAATTCCTGAAATTTGAATCACATGCCCATTAATTCAATTTTTAACTTAACTTTAGCTATTATTATTAGTATTAAAATAAATCAAAATAAGACATAATTTAGACACAGATGACACATTAGTAAATGTTACAACAACCATTACTGACGAGAGTCTTAAATGCTCAGTATTAGCAGCTCAGATACTGTATATCAGAAGCCACCGGTCAGTTTTTTATAGGAAAATCAAAGATACTTTACGACATAATGGGTCGCTGCAGCTAATAAAACACGTGGCAAGCAAACGGGAGGGTGACATCTGTCTAGTGCCAACGGAGGTAAATGCCTCCATGCTTGCCCCTGATAGCAAAAGGTGGGTCTACTTAACAGCCAATAAAAACCCTTGGTGATGTCAGCTGATAATCTCCAACAACAATTTGGTTTATTTATTTTGTATTACCAGAACCAAAAAAAAAAAAAAATTACAACCTAAGATTTTCCATGAGCTGTCATGGAAATAACAGTATTAGTGTGAGGAAAAAACATGTTGGTCCACAAGGAAAATACTTCCTTAATTCTTGAGCTCTTTAAATAAGTGAGTAAAATAAATGTATCTTTTCTTACATTTGTCCGTGGGATTAACAGCCAAACCAACATGACTTTGTCCAACAAACCTTTCAGACCAGGGGTGTCAAACTAATTTTGGTTCAAGTGCCACATTTAGCTTGATTTGAGTCAGGTGGAAAATATAAGAATAAGTCAATGTTTTCCTCCTTTGTTTTCATGGAAATAATTACATGTTTATTTCAAAAAATCTTCATATCTAATGAAATATAATTTGACAAATCATGTCAAACATATAGAGTCTGTGCATTTGTTTTACTTTCAAATTTCAAGTTCAAGTGGACCAGATGGAACGCGGCCGCATGCCATATGTCTGACACCCCGTTTTTTTTTCCACAAAGAGTTCATGGACGCCAAGGACAAGCCGACGAAGCAAACAGATACCATATTCTCCCACATGAAGTGTCACTCAAGTTCAAACGAGAAAGATTACATCTGAACAAGTGCTTCTGATAGTGGAGTGGCAGCAGCGACTGCGCCTCCAATCATTAACACTAGTAGGCAGAACAGTATCGGCAGTGTCGACGCCACTGCTATAGAGTCCAGGCCCAAAACTCCTGTGATCAACCCACTCATGTGTCTCCTTGTACTTTGGCACTCCTTTGTCTTCCTTTCCTCCAAAATCAACCTCCAACTTCTGTTCTTTGAACCCAAGCGCACAGCATAATGGGGCTCTCAGAGAAATAGTTCTCAATAATACAAGAAGCAGAAAATGGACTGTTGAGAGCAGAGGGATAAAAACGTATTGTGCCCCCTTTGAGTGTCACTGAATGATTTACAACACAACCTGACGCTTGTTGAAGCCTCTGGGAAAGTTGTGGCTGCACAAGTTGTGCCTACAGTATATTCTTCCTCTTCCTCTTCCTCCTCCTCCTCCTCCTCCTCTCCACTTCCACTAGTGAAACAGTGTTGTTGTTGTTGTTGTATATTTTACTGAAATATGTCTTGTAGCAACATTTTAATGTTCAGTTTTTTTTGTTCCAATTTTGCAGCTTTTGTTCATGTGGAAGCCTTGTTTGAGCACATGACTTACAGATCATGTGTTGTTGTAAATATTACATTACAATACATTTAGCACGGTGTTTAACAAACTTTTTTTCTGGGGACCCATATTTTAAAAGTCACCCACCTGAAGGTCGCAACCCAGTCTTTGGGAAACAATGACTTAACAGACACTTTTATCCAAAGCGACTTAGAATTTGAGAGAGTAAATCAACACTCAAGCTACTGTAAACATACAAAATACATACATAATAAATAAATAGAAATAGTACAGTTATAGTCATAGTAAATCATACAGTAAGAAGAATAGTATGTCATCAAAAATACTGTATGTCATAAGACATCAACAACATCTTTGAGGGTATAACAATTATCTATGTCAAACGTTTGTGTGTAGATATATAGATACCTTTGTTTATTTTATTTGGGCTGTTAAATGATTAAATAATTAAAAAAAATATATTTTCTATTGACTGACTATTCACTGGGTAGCTGTTGATTAATAACAATTAATCATGATTAATTGTGATTGTAACTAATCACAATTGCCTATCTATGGCAAAATCTTTTTTTGCCAGCTATATTGCTGCAACCTAGAGACATACAGTATAACAGCAGGCAGGTTTATGTGTGTTCACACCTGTTTATATTAATGACTAATTCAAATGATGGAATTTTTTAATAGATATTCAAGAAAAGCATTCAAAGGTAACGTGGTCTGATCTGAAGGTACGATATACGTATGTTAACGTGTTGGTTCAGTAACAAAGACTATACTATTCCTGATGTTCAATGACATGACTGCTGGCCACTGACTTTCATCCAAAAATCAAACTCCTACTCACCACTACCAGCAACAGAGTAACATGAATCATACGAAAATGTGACGGATGATTCACGAAACATGACACACAACCAGTCAGTTGGCCGGATGCACTACGTTAAATCTGTCTTGCATCTCAGGCACAAGTGTCCAGAAGTAGAAAAGCCCCTCTGAGGGATTGGTTATTATGGACTTGGTGTGATATCAGAGAAGTTTAACCAAGTTTCCCTGCACCCATCCTCCTGCAAGAATAACAAAGCAAACTGCTGCAGGCTTCTGAACTGAGTAACAGATTACTGTCGAGTACTCTAATATTTTCTGTCCAGCATCCTTTGAATTCCTGTGAATCCAGCAGGTTTGTAAATGTCAAAGATCATGAAATGATCTGAACCCTAGTGGTCAGAATAACCACATTTACTGTAATGACGCCGACAGATTTACAACCAGATTATTCCCAGAGTAAGTGTTAATGACCAGGGAGGGTATTTGACATGTCTCGCTGACAGAGGATTTACTTCCAATCAGGTTCTATGGTTTATTTAAAAAAAAAAAAAAAGAAAAAAAGAGTCAAGCAAATTATGTAATGTACAGAAATGATCGCAGGGTGGAAATAAACTAATCCAGTGAGATAGAAAGAAGCTCAACGTTATGTCCTGATTATCCTGCCAGGGTGGCGTAGTGTGGATTTTTATAGCAGTGACTCATTTTCACAGAGCAAAGAACGCACACGCACACATACGTGCGCACACACACTCACACAGACAGGCATGCACACAAAAAGAGGGAGAGAGGAAACTTACGATTCGATCTAAAGTGAGTTTTGAAAACTTTGGAGCAGCAATACTATGAGAAGTATTGTGACACTAATCAGACGTGTTTCTCTCTCTCTCTAGCTCTCTCTCCCACAAACACACACACACACACATACTGTGTATATTATTTATATGTGTTTTAGTTTATTGGAAACACAGACAGAATGCATTTTCTAGCTCCTTATCCTAGCCTTACTATTACAATCGTAATCCTCACCCTTACACTAATCTGACCTCTTTCTAATCCTAACTCCAAACCCTCAATCAGCGTCATTCAATAAAATGTGTCCCCACAACTTGAGTATTTTTCCAAAAATTAAAAAAAAAAAAAAAAAATCCAAGTTAAATTAGCTTTTGTTCTAATTCCAATCTTAATATCAGATGATGCAATAAAATGGGACAACTTTGTATTTGTTGTTATAAATATTTTCTTCCCAGCACTTAATAGCAACATAACCTCGAAGCAACCGCATAATTAAATCTGACAGGTTTCTACTCCATTAGTGAAAACAATTCTGAGTAATGAGTAAAGTACTAAAATACTAAGACAAGACCTGATTTTTTAAAATATTAATAATTCTACTGCTGCTGTCTTTCAATTGCAGCTATATTATCTTTGTCATATCGCGATTAATTATGATTATTCGTGATAAATCCACAACTGCACTGTGATTAATTTGAAAGACCTATTTTCTTCAATGGCGTACATCTAAGATGTGGGTTGTATTTATATAAGTCAAGGGGCATTTTGCTGAACCTTTGTAGGCCCAACTCTGTAATAGTCCATTATTTAAAAAACACAGGACTGGGCCAAGAACCACCTCCTCGTGGATGACTCACAAAACAAAAGCCAACAGGCACATATGTCGAGTTTTATGTCAAAAATATTTTTATTTTATTTGAGTTGCTCGTCCACCTTTGTCACACTTTTCCAGATCGCCCCACACCGAGAATAACCGATCTGAGTCACACCTCTGACGACTAACTGCAGGGGCGTCCTGGAGTATCTGCCCAAAATTGTTCTGCCCAAACAAAATGCTCGAAATACAGTTTGAAATCTTCAATGTTCAACCGCAGTGACTCATCAGCCCAATGAGAGTGGGCTATTCCAATGACAACATCACAACCGTTTGGACATTTGTCTTTACTACATGCCTTGACCAACGTACTATTACAGTTCAACAGCCTTTTATTGTTCAGAACCTCTGCAGTCCTGGAAAAAAATGTTTTAAACTTTTGCGTAACCTATTCATATCTAATCTACGCAAATGATTTATTTGCATGCAAAAAGGAAACACTGCAAGAGTATTCATTAAACCCAACTATGTTTTGGCAGGTCATAAGAAAAACAAAGATAAGAGATCTGGTGCACCCAAGATTATAAAGAGTACAAGTGAGAGGACTTAACTCGTAACTTGACACAAGGAGGTTAGAAAATCTTTCACCAAACCATAACCTTTACTGTTTTATTGATCCATAAACGCCACCTAGCCCATCTCATATCACCATCTGAGATAACACGACACACTTTTGCAGAGTGATGCATGTCGTTCAGTCTAGGTTGCATTTTGGATGCACAAAAACACACGTAAATCCTGGGATTT